AGGGTCGAAAAGTAAGCTCGCTAAAGCGGCGGATGCGGAGCCATCTGGCCAGATGAGAGATGAAAAAGTGCACGCCGTTGTGGCGCCAAGCACATTTCCAAGTCAAAATGTACAAAACACACCAACTTCGGACCACTTTTAGTAGTTGAGATGTCGAAAAAGTGCACACCGTTGTGGCGCGAATCACATTTCGAAGTCAAAATGTACAAAACACACACCAGGTTCGGACCACTTTTGGAAGTTGAGATGTCGAAAAAGTGCACGCCGTTGTCGTGCGAAGCACGTTTCGAAGTCAAAATGTTAAAAACACCAGGGGTTCGGACCACTTTTGGAGGTTCAGATGTGCTTCCTCGTGGCAAGCGCAAGGGGTTGTGGACCTTCTCTCAAAAGTGAGCAAAACATGAGGGTTTTGTTGCATTTCCAACTACAACCACCACTACACCACACTACACTCCAATACACTACACTACAACTACAGATACAACTTCACTACATTCCACTACACTACACTATATTCCACTACACTCCACTACACTCAATTATACTCAATTACACTCAGTTAGACTCAATTACAGTCAATTACGCTCAATTACATTCAATTACACTCAATTACCCTTAATTACACTACACTACACTACACTACATTGCACTACACTACACTACATTACACTACACTACACTCCACTACACTACACTACATTACACTACACTACATTCCCCTACACTACACTGCATTACACTACACTCAATTACACTACACTACACTACACTACAGTCCACTACCCTACACTACACTACATTCCACTACACTACACTACATTACACTACACTACACTCCACCACACTACACTACACTCCACTACACTACACTCAATTACACTACACAACACTACATTACACTACAGTACGCTAACTGCAACTACTACAACAACTACAACTACACTACCACGCTACACTACACTACACTACACACTTTACTACACTACACTCCACTACACTACACTACACTACACTACATTCCACTACACTACAGTACATTACACTACACTCCACTACACTACACTACATTACACTACACTACATTCCACTACACTACACTACATTACACTACACTCAATTACACTACACTACAACTACACTACACTACACTCCACTACACTACACTACACTCCACTACACTACACTGAATGACACTGCACTACACCTGCAACTACAACTACAACTGCAACTGCAACTACACTACATTACATTACACTACACTAATGACATTACACTACACTACACTACATTACACTACATCACGCCAAGTACAACTGCAACTACATAAGACTACACTACACTACACTCGTTACATTACACTACACTGCACTTCACAACACTTCACCCCACTCCACTACACTACACCTCACTACACTACACCCCACTACACTACACTACACTACACTCAATTACACTACACTACATTCCAGCACTACATCACACTACACTCAATTACACTACACTACACTACACACTACACTACACTACACTACATTACACTACACTACACTACATTCCACTACACTACACTACATTACACTACACTCAATCACACTACACTACACTACACACTACACTACACTACACTACACTAGACTACACTACATTCCACTACACTACACTACATTACACTACACTCAATTATACTACACTACAACTACGCTACACTACATTCCACTACACTACACTACACTACATTGCCATACGCTACGCTACATTACACTACGCTACACTATTTAATTGCATTACACTACACCACACCACACTATACTCAATTACACTACACTACATTGCCCTACCCCACATTGCATTACATTGCATTACATCACATTACATCATTACGTTACATTACACTACACTCATTACACCACCACAAATTAACTGCAACTACACTACACTAATTACACTACACCACAACTACACCTCCACTACACTACAACTACAACTACAGCTGCACTACACCACACTACATCCAGCAGTTGTGGGTGAGGTGACCGACCAGGTGACCACTGCAACCATTGCAGCGACTCCAAAAAACCACAGCTCCAACCACCTTGCGGTCCATCAGTGGATTCGCTCTGCCATTTGTGATTCACCAATCTCTCCTATAGGTTTCCTATTTTTGAAACTTCCGCCACCGCCTTGTGCGGCACTACTGGCATAAGATTATTTAAGATAGATATGAGATATGATGTCTGCAAACATCGTGATATAAAGTGCGGAGCAAAAACAAGTACAGTGTAGGCTGGTTCGTCAAATATCGAATGCAATTCCCCAATTGTGCACCGAAACTTTCACACCTGCAGCGTTTTCAAGATCTGTACCCTGAGGGCGAAGCAATGTTGTTCCCGTGGGATTGCAAACGGCCTGCGAAGTTGCACAACTTAGTCACCACGTTTGTTGATGTTTGTTGACCATATAAATCTATGTAGCAAAGTCTTCGGACCATCTGGATCTATTCAGATGTAAGGCGACTCATTAGCGCCCACAATTTCCTTCCATATTTTGACTCATGGGTGCGCACAATTTTGACCCATCGACGCTCACATATCTAAAAAATCGATACCAGGGTCGGCTGCACATACATGATCATATACATGATATACACGGGAATATGAGTATGCTCAGTGTGCTCTTTCCACTTGTTGCTTGACACGGCACAAAGAGGCGATGGAGTGAGGCGGGGTGGTAACTTCCAAGGCACCCACGAGGCACAAGATGCACAACCAAGCCACATGGCTTCACAAGGGGTTGGAGCTGGAGGGAAATAGGGGTTTCACACGAAAAGATGACTAAATCACCCAGCAAAACCGTGGATGGTTGGGTCGAAACAGTGATGAATAGCAATGGGGGGGTTGCTGCACAAATCCGGTGGATATAGCCAAGGAACCCACCAAAATTGGGATCAAACAACCAAAAAAACAAAAAAAACAAAACGTGAAGCCACAAAGCAGGAATCGTCAACCCCCAAAACGGGAGATCCAGCACCAATCCCAGTCAAATCATCTACAGGCGTATAGGGGTATCAGGATGGTATCAGGATGGTATCAGGAAGGTATCAGGAAGGTATAGGCTAGATCACCGAACACGGGCGACTAGGCTGGCCCCATCCCGACCACGCCTGTGGCAGCCACAGGCGCAAGGCAGCCCCTGCCACCCAGTTGTTGGCCAGGACGAAGAGAAGGTCCAAGGAGGACTCGGCACAAGGGCTTTGTTGGACAATGAAGTAAATTTGTGGTTTTAACATGTTTTTAACCAAAGTTGAAAGGCTGCAAGTGAACTTGGGAATTATTCATTCATGGTGATCGTGGCTGGCCTGCAAGTGTCTAAAGTAAAATCAGATAGACTCCACATGAAAATGTTGAGGCTTCAGGCTCCACTGGAACTGGCCGGTGGCACCAATTTCCTTTATCTTGCGCTGCATGGTCTGCAGCCGAGTTTCAAACCTGAGGCTTTTGAATCTGGATGAATTCATCGTACAATACACATTAATTGACATCACGGACATCACATCTATAACCATGCACGGAATCAACCTGAGCCGAATTCAACCTGAGCTCTGCTTCGCAACGGATCCATGGTCGGCAGACAACTGCTAACTATTTAAGTAGAAGGTGAATGATGGTGTAGTCACCGCAGTCGGGTAAATCTGCAATATGAGATGTTGGACCAATGGCGGGATGGCTTCATCACCATTGCTTTGGCATCTGTCGACAGTCTGTCAACCTCCCGAAGTTTCAATGATTTCCCATGTCCTCTGGCCCTTCTTCACCAGCCAATGGGATGACTAAAGATCTGTGCGCTGTCACATCCCCGTGATTGATAATTTGTTTCGGTATAGGCGACCTGGCCAATTTCCTTCACTAGCCCTAGATCTTGTTTTCAAAAATGCTTTGGGACATGAAGTATTCCGAACCAGCAACTAAAGAAAGCACAAAAAAACATCTGAAAAACACACCAACTTTTTCATCCAGTTGATCCTGTTTTGCAGTGTTTTGCGAACAGAGCTCAAGTTCCGGGTGAACAAAACTGTAGCTGGGGTGACGCTGCTGTGTTGTAGAGCTGGTGCCACCCTCCGATGGAAGGCACAAGGCCAAGAGCGGCAGGTGCCGACGGCGACATCACTGGTGAAATCAAATGTGTTTGAAGATGGGCATAGTACGGACATATAAACAATAAGGATTTCAAGGCGGGACAGCGAATATTTTGTGAGTCTTCAATTTAAGGTATCCGATGGTATCCGATAGTCGACGGATACGCCACGCTAATCCATCTCCCATAAATGACCCCGATAAGGTTGCCATGGGTAAAAGGGTCTGACCGTCTGACCATGTCTGACCTGTTTGGTGTCCGTGGATCGTGGCCTGTTTCTATTGGAATACTGCCGGATCCACTCCCACCGTTGGCCCCGTCAGTGTGATCCCGGGCCAGTAGTCACCCTGTACAGCTGCGGCCCGGGACACGTGAATTCGCCAAGAGACTCACGGTTACTAGGTCTGTCATTGTTTCAGAAATCTTAGCAATGGAAAGCCGCTTGGGCGCCCAACCTGAATGAACCATAGACATGGTTATAGCCCGAAGTTTCGAGAAGAGAGCCCTTTGAAAAGTGTTATCAGGTGGAGCAAGTCTTTCCAATATGCTACTTCACTCTAGTTTCATACCATCATCCTACAAATGGCACGGGTTACCTGAATCATAACCTTTTGGGGATGGATGTCCACTCAAGGCCCACACACGGTTGTTGCCGTGATTTTCCAGCTGCCCCCATCTGCGCATTCTCTTTCATTCCGGCTTTTCTCATGTCCGTGGCTCAGAATTGGCTTTGCTCCGAAGAAAATATCATGATAGTTCTATGAGCAATTCAACTCGTACCTAAATAAATCATACTAAATCTAAGCCATGGGTTTGCTATTGATCCCGGTAGAAATTGGGAGGAGGGCTCCTTCGTCTAAGCCATGTGTCCATCCTTCACTGGTTCGTGTAGACCCCTGGCGTTTGAACTTGCAGCCGCCGAACCGGCGCAAAAGGGGCATCTTCAGCCCTCAAAAGATGAAGCTCGAACAAAGTTGAACAAACTCCTGCAAATGGCGGAACATCATGGAACGTCCAGGAACCTGGAGGCATGATGTAGACGGATTGTTTGCAATTCAGTCATGAGCATCACAAACTCAGTATTAACAAAAAGCGTGTTTGTTTATTGAATTTCTTGATGAGTTCCTGCAGTTTTTTGGAATTCTTGGCCTTGGACCTGCAGACTTGACATACCTTGACTGCTTACAGTGCCGACCTTCAGCTCAAGGTAGAAGCACTTTGTTGGCGTCCTGCATGCCGCATTGCTTCATGGACGGATGACAGTTGCCACCGGCAACCGTTCCAACCGCTTGTTGGAAACTGTTTGCACGGGTTTGCACGGGTTTGCACGGGTCATCCCAGCATTGGCTTCAACTCAACTGTTCAACGTCCTGAATCCTCCGAACCCCCCCATCCCGCACCTCCGGTGGAACGGGACACGCTAAATCTGTACACTGCGCATCCCGTCGAAGACCACTGGCTGGACAGGTACAGGTGTTCGTGCCTCAGCGTTTTTGACGGGATAGAATCAGCTCAAGAAAGCGCATACGGTGAGAATTGTTTTTTGCTTGAGATTTCTGTTCACCTGATTGTGTCAAGTCAAAAGATCCGACAAGGAGTCTTTTCTTGAGACTCTTTGCCCGAAGTCTCAGATGGATCCATTTTTCCAATTCCTCGTTGCGTGCAAGTCGCCATCTCCTTTTGGAAAGGCTGCAAAGGGCTGGCAGCGGCCTAACAGCTCATGTCCCAGCCTCTTGGCTTCCAACATTTTCCTCAAGTTTTTCTCCGTATGAGACCAGAAAATAAACCAAGCATAATATACCGCAATATGTGTCGTGTTCATCGTGTTTTTCCTGATTGTTTTATGATCTATGGGCTCAACGTCGTGGATTTTGTCATTTGGGCTGGGGATTGTTGCCTCAACTTTGGGAAATTATTTGTGTACCTTTGAATCATCGCTCTATCAAGTAAAATCATGCAGAGGGCTTACCCGCACCTATTTTCAATACAGCTAACCCAAACGCCTCTTGCAAGAATTAGTTTCTACCAGTAGCAAGAGACTTTTTGTTCAGAATCGGCGATATGCTATACTGTAATATGTTGCATGATTCGTCGTTAAAAAAAAAAAACTTTTTTTGTAGTTGACCCGATCTAAAATTGGCTCATTCGGCTGCACCTCGTGCCGCTGGATCCTCCGGCGGGCAAGCTCTCAAGGTGCACGCAGTCGGATCCTCTCATGGCCAGCTTGACGTTTCAGTGGGTTAAGACCATGTCAAATAAGACATGCCAAGCACCACGAAACTTTAGTCGGGCAAAAAGTGCCAAAAGATTCCAGTCCTTTTAAAGTTTTGGATTCAATGATATTCCTCTGGGGTTCCTCGCCGTTTGTGGGGTTCCAGCAATGACGCAGCCAGTGTTTCATAGGTTATTGGAGGAGTTTCCAATCCCCCCAGGGAAACAACATGAAACGACATGAAACAACTATCATATTAGTGCGGATATTCATGAAAGCTGACCAGCTAACGGAACTGGGATGATCCCTGAAGCTGGTACGTACGCGCAGTGGTTAGAACATGTTAGTACATGCTTCATAACTCCGAACGTCGCTGGGATATTTCATGGGTCGGTCAGGCCCCCATAAATCCAAATATATTGTCTAGCCCTCTCTCATTATAACCCCTTCGATACGAGCCCCCAAAATGAACAGATCATTTACTAATCGAGATTATCGAAAGGCTCAAGTTCGGCTTAACAAATCATTATCTTTACCGCATCAGTTGTTCCCCAATTATCATTATTAAGGCTGATCATCCCTCTTAGACAACTCAAGTGTAGCCTTTATAACCAACCGTGCGGATCTGTAAAGTAAAACCTGCTAAATCCTCCCGGATACCCAGTCCGACATCAGCCCTGAAGCTGGGCAAATGCAGGTATTACAGCCATCCGGCGCTGTGTAGCTGACGCCAGGGCAACAAGTGCCTCTAATAGGCTGAAAAGAGTATGTCTGAGTGGATCAAACGCTTTGACATCGAGCGCATTTTTTGAAAATCAGATTGTGGAGCTGTCATCACTTGATTGGGAAATCTATGGAAATCTGTATCATCAGACATCATCGGCGTGTGAAAAACTTTAATCCGTGTCCATGACCCCTCAACGACTGGCAAGTAAGCCTGAAGGACCGTCAAACATACATCAGATTGTTGGCGCCTATCGGTCGTCCCGGGCGACCCGGGCGCCCCGGGCGACCCGGGCGCACAGGTGGCTGCGGGCATTCCTCAGCTATGATCCAACGATGAAACGGAAGTGTCTTGCTATTATATCCCCATTGACTTTGGGGGGGGTCACTCAAGTGACCCCATTCTTTAGACAGAAAATCTCTGACCCAGTCACAAGCCTAGAAAATGAAAAGACCAAGTAAAATTGGACGTTTTTTTTGATTGGGCAATTCAATTTCTAGAGGGATGTATGGATGTTTTGGACATGTATGTTTTTAAACAAACAGGTACATGAGAGTACAATTCACCACTTTGGGTCTAGAAAATGACTTGTAATGCCATCATAAGAACAATAAAAAATGTTCCCCTAAAAAAATGGTTTCAAAAATGGAGGACCAGAAATGAACAATGTTTTCTCTAGAAAATGAATTGTGCAATCCTTACTAAGACAGGTAATCCATATTCCCCTGGAATCACCAAAAACACAGTCATTTAACCCAAATTTAGTGCCAAAAATTTAATCCAAAAAATCAGCCTGCAATCCAGCGCCAACAAAGCGAGTGATTTTTTTTCTCTCCCAAAATTGTCCAAGATTGGTTGATCAAGATTGATCAAGGTCTCTACGTTTGTCAAGTCCATGAAGAACTTGAATTTCAACGAATGATTTGGGCTGACCACATATTTATCCCTATTGGCATTTCAGGGTGAACTCAAGTGACCCTCATTTTCTCGCCAGAAAAATTCTGACCCAATCAAAAGCCTAGAAAATGAAAAAAACAGGTAAAATTGGACGTTTTATTTGATTGGACTATTCATTTTCTACAGGGGTGCATGGATGTTTTGGACATGCATTTTTTAAACAAACAGATGCATGAGAGTACAATTCACCACTTTGGGTCTAGAAAATGACCTGTAATGCCATCATAAGAACAATAAAAAATGTTCCCTAAAAAAATGGTTTCAAAAATGGAGGACCAAAAATGAACAATGCTTTCTTTAGAAAATGAATTGTGCAATCCTTGCCAAGGCGGTAATCCATATTCCCCAGGAATCACCAAAAAAACAGTTATTTAACACAAATTTAGTGCCAAAAATTTAATCCAAAAATTCAGCCTGCAATCCAGCGCCAACAAAGCGAGTGATTTTTTTTGTCTCCCAAAATTTTCCAGGATTGGTTGATCAAGATTGAGCAAGGTCTGTAGTTTTGTCAAGTCCATGAAGAACTTGAATTTCAACGAATGATTTGGGCTGACCACATATTTATCCCTATTGACATTTCAGGGTGAACTCAAGTGACCCTCATTTTCTCGCCAGAAAAATTCTGACCCAATCAAAAGCCTAGAAAATGAAAAAAACAGGTAAAATTGGACGTGTTATTTGATTGGACTATTCATTTTCTACAGGGGTGCATGGATGTTTTGGACATGCATTTTTTAAACAAACAGATGCATGAGAGTACAATTCACCACTTTGGGTCTAGAAAACGACCTGTAATGCCATCATAAGAACAATAAAAACTGTTCCCTAAAAATCCCTAAAAAAATGATTCAAAAATGGAGGACCAAAAATAAACAATGTTTTCTCTAGAAAATGAATTGTGTAATCCTTGCCAAACCAGGTAATCCATATTCCCCAGGAATCACCAGAAAACATCAAATTGAGTCATTTCTGCCACCAAAAAATCCAGAAACTGACCTGTAATCGAATGCCATCGTAAGTGATGTATTCCTCTGCCCAAAACTTGTTGAAGATTGGTTGATAAAAACAAGGTTGGCCAAGGTCTCTACATTTTTTTTCGGTTCAACATGTGTGTTGCCATGTCTTGCCAAACGTTTCAAGAAAATGCAGCTGTTAAACAACATTTTTCTACAAAATGATTCAATATGCCTTGGTAAAAAAAAACCTTGCCATTTCGGGGGTAGCTCAAATGATCCTCATGTGCGAGACAAATTAACGGAACAGTCACAAGTCACAAGCCTGGAAAACGAGAAACAAACGATAAAGATCGATGTTCTTAGGGGCCTGTTCTAATCATTTTCTAGAAATGTTTATGCCTGTTCTACACGTTCAAATTTTCAAGAAAATAGGCACATGGAAGTGCAACTCATCATCAACTCACGACTTGTTCTCTAGAAAATATCAGGAATAGCATGAAGCTGCACCAGTCGAAAAACCAAAGAAATGTGTGTCAAAATCCAAGACCCAAAATAAATCATGTTTTCCCTAGAAAATGAATTGCCTAACCCTTCCTGAAACCGGCACCCTATATTCCCCAGGGAACCCCAGAAAACCTCAAATTAGTCCCCCAGGAACTAAAAATCCACTTCAAAAAAACATGATCCAAGGAATCCCCCCAAACAATGATGTCATCGACCCTTTCATGTTCAGGCATTTTCTAGACAAAAATTAAATGAGCCAAGGGTTTCCCAAAATACTAATGTCTCTGTTTGGCTTACACTTCATTCAAACAATATTGCACATTGGCAGCGGCACTTCAATATTTTGGCACTTTCGAGTGCACCCTGAAGTTCCGTCTGCACAATTTTGGAATAGAAAGTTCAAAAAAAAACATATCATCACATGACATTTCAACAAAATCTCGATAAATTATGGAGAATTTATATATGTTTCCTGGATACCCGAAATCGTCTAGAAAACGCATGGCGCAATCAATTTGGCTCTTGATATCAATCTAGCAACTGTCTAGAAAATAACTTGATATGGAAGGATGAACTTGGCCCTGGGTATGGGGTTTTTTAAGCATTCCCCAGGAATGACCCAGGAAGCATTCGGACAAGAGTTCGATTGTTTTTTTTTCTTCCAGCCCTTATCTCTCTAGAAAATGGTCAGGCACAGTTACATATAAAATTATTAAGGACCTTTTCGAACTTCCCCAGGAAATGTGGGAAAATTGACTGGGCGGGCAGTTTCTAGCTAGAGAATGGGTGAACTTGAGTTCACCCATGCTCTTCTGGCAAATTTCAATGAGGATATTTTTTCTGTTTGGCTCGTGCCTCACTGAAAAGATATCTTTTCTTGGCACTTCAAAATTTTTGGCACACTTGACTGAATCCTGAAGTTCATTCTTCACACTTTTGGAATAGAACATTGAAACGCATCTTGTCACATTTCAGAAAAACCTAGATGAATTTGGATCTATTTTGTGATGCTTTGGGGCGCCCCAATAGAGGTCTAGAAAATGCATTGCACAATCAATTTGTCTCTTGATATCAATCTAGCAGCTGTCTAGAAAATGACTTGATATGGAAGGATGAACTTGGCCCTGGGCATGGGGCTTTTTAAGCATTCCCCAGGAATGACCCAGGAAGCTTTCGGACAAGAGTTCGATTGATTTTATTTTTTTTTCAGCCCTTATCTATCCTTATCTCTCTAGAAAATGGCCAGATACATTTACATATAAAATCATGAAGGACCTTTCGGACTTTCCCCGGGAAATGTAGGGAAAATGACTGTTCAAGCATTTTCTGTCTAAAGAATGGGGTCACTTGAGTGACCCCATTCTCTATAGGGAAATTTCCATGGGGATGCTATTATTACGTGTTTTTTTCCCATTATTGTATGATGGTTGATGGTTGAGTTGGAACGTGTGCCTATAGAACCTACACAACTGCAAATACATAGCAGTATATATGAGAATTGGAAGAACCCAAGCACCATCAATCTCACAAATTAGCTTGTTAACCCAAAGTTTTCTCCATGTGCCATCAGCAACATTTAATGTTTTTTCCACCAACTGTGTCCCTCACCAATGACGAGCTTCCAACTGGGTGCAATGCTCTGGGCTTTTCTGGCCATCCGCAGGGCACACGCAAAAGTTGAGCCCGTCGCCTGCGACATCGGAGGAATATTTAGAAATTGGATCAGCTTAAAATTCAAGGACCGGATAGCCCCACATGTCAACTTCTTTCAAAAACTGCAAATAGGTTTTCTACAGCAGAAACGAAGCGGAACAGGAAAGGCAGGAAAGACAAAGAACATGGTGGAGGATCGCTTGTTTTAAAGAGTTGTATGTGAAAGTGCTGAATGTGAAAGAGCTGTTGGTGGAAGAGCTGCGTGTGAAAGACTTGGTGTGTCAGAGAGGGGTGTGTGTGTGTGTGCGTGTGTGCGTGTGTGTGAAAGAGTTGTATATGTGGAAGAGTTGCCTGGGGAAGAGGTGTGTGTTTGTGTGTGTGCGCCAGAGTTGTGGGTGACAGAGTTGTATGTGAAAGAGTTGGCTATGAAAAATGTTTGGTGAGAAAGAGTTGTGTACAACGGATGTGTGTGTGTGCGTGTGTGTGACAGAGGTGTGTGATGTGCTGGGGAGTTGTGTGTGATATCATAGCTGTCTGGGAAAGAGGTGTGCGTGGAAGAGATTCATGTAGAAGAGTTGTATGTGAAAGCGAGGTGCATGCGTGTGAACGAGTTGCGTGTGAAGGAGTTGTGTGTGACAAGAGTCTCAAGCGGCCTGCGTGTGAAGGAGTTGCATGCGAAAGAGTTGCGTGGCAAAGGGCCGCTGACTTGTAGCCAAAGACCGTGCCAACACCATGGGACTTGGTGATTGGCAAACGCTGGTTTGGCGCCATGAACAGTGCCACCGGTGCCCAGCGGATGCAAGTGCTTCTTTGCATGTCGCGTCAAAACATCGCAGAATGAAGCCGGATAGGTACCTGGCAGCAAGGCAGCGCGAGGAGAATTTTTTGGCATCAAGGGAGGCAGTGTGACACAAAGACAAGTGCCAGCCAGACAGTGTGTTGACTCAACTTATGTGAAAGTCAGGTACACAAAGTGTCCAGGAAAGATACCTCAGCTCCGTCCGTGCTGCCGGACGTATGCATGTCAAACAACATGGAACCATCAGCAAGAGTGCCTGGCAAATGTCTCTGGCAGGGAAGCAAAAAGCTTGCCGGCCCAGTGCTAGATGCCACGCCCATGCAAAAGCCACGCGAGTGCGATCAAATGCCACGCCTGCCACGCAAAGCAGCCCGCGTCAAAAGCCAGACCAAGCACACTACCAGAGCCAGCCCAGCGCCATAAGTGCCACACCTGCCACGGAGAAGAAGCGTCAGTGTCACCAAGCGCCACTTCTGCCACCAGAAGGAGCGTCAAACTTGTGTGTGAAACAGTTGTGTGTAAAAGAGTTGCGTGTGAGAATATTGTGCGTGAAAGAGCTGTGTGTGTGTGTGCTTGAAAGAGTTGTGTGTGACAAAGGTGTGTATGAAAGAGCTGCGTGTGAGAGAGAGGAGGCAAGGAGGAGGAGGAGGAGGAGGAGGGGGAGGAGAAGCGGACGGGAGCGCACAACAGAAATACAAGAACCCCACACAAAGATGTAGGGAAAACTGAGAGATCCATTGAAGTGCGTGAATCAGCCGATGAGATTCATTGAGTCAATGAGCACTGCAATCACTGCACTCACCATCCCGTCCATCTCGTCCTGCAGGGTAGGCGCTGAATGGCGTGCAGTTCTGGGTCAGCGCCATCCATGGAGGGCACGCCATGCGAGTGCAGGCAGATGCATTCCTGAACCAAGACAATCCGGACAATCCAAACTTGTCCGGTCGCTGGAGCCATCCCAAAACCCAAGAACATAGTCAAGTTGGAGTTGGAAACTTGGAGAACGCAAAAGTTATATATTTGTTACATCTACTTACTATAGTTGGATATGAATACTATAACTGCTTGGGTCTCTAGGCTACCATCTTCACCGGGGGCACCAAATGGGCAGCTGAAACTCTCGACTCATAGACAGCTCCGAGGATCTTCCATCCCTTGTCAGAGCACATGCCTCGGAGCTGTCAAGCCCAGCAAGGCCAGGGAGGCCAGCCAGGATCATTCCACCAAGGTGGCGAATTGACTTTCAGCGCTACAAGCTGACTAGCTGGAACTTTTTGGAATGCACAAATGTGACCATACATGTCATTGAAGGGTCATGTGTGGATATGGATAAAAATTGAACTAAAGCATGGCATTGACTGAATATCAAGATAACCTTTGCATGCGCTTGATCTAAAGCCATATTCTGTAGGTTGAATGTACAAGTAGGTTGAATTATATATTTGAATTACTCATTCGAGTGGTTCGAATTTATCAATGAGTATTGGCTTGATCCCAAAGTAGCTTGGGCGGTCCCAACTGCTCTGGCAACTGAGTGGCAGGTATTGCAGCCGTCTGCAGCGATGAAGCTGCGGTTGGGGCAGCAAAGACCTCTCTGCAGGCGAAAGACATGGGGGGAAGCTGACGTCACAACTTTGGTTTCCGTAGCTCGGATCCATTTTTCAACAGCTTTGAGATCTGGTGCATGGATCCGACCGATGTCCAAGCTTTGAGTATGGGAAACTCAAGATTCTCCAACCTCAATCGTGTTCAGTGTTGGATATCTAACGCAAGGCCAAATTATGATCCACCGCAATTTGCCTATTTCTAATTGATTGCCAAGAGTAAGTCGTTTGCAATTCGCTTTCTGCCCACCAAAATTTGCAGGGGGTCGTCACACAAGTTGTGCTGAGTCAAAACCGTGGGACATTCCTAAACTGTGAACTGAGCAAACAAGCTCATCTTGCGAGTTCGGAAATCCTCTGAGCATGTTTATCAGAGATGTTAATGTCTGCTCATCTACCAAAAACTGTTCATGGATTTCACTTGGATTTCCACATTTGCTTTGGAATCACTCACCAAACGCAACATCGGGTCGCACCTTGCTCGGTGGACGGGGCAGGCGTTGGAAGAGTTGGTGCCTGGACATGGCGATGCAACGGGGCCCAGCCGTGATAGGCAAGGGGCTCAAGCGGCTCCATGCGATGGAGAGTTTTTCCATGGTGTTCTCCTGGTGTTCTCCAGGTGTTCTCCTCCAGCAAATGTCCCATTTCAATCCATTTCAACATGCTTCAACCATTGCTGAATCATCTTCATCCTCTCCAGTAGTGCTCAACGTTCTCCAATTTGTGAGACATTGACCAACCCAGGAACCTAGTACAGTCTTTCCTCTGGTTTCCTGTGTTTGATACCAACTATTGACAGGTGCGTTGCTCTGCCATGAGGAAATGTCTAAGGAGGAAATGTGCAACACAAACATGAAGGGACAGCACTAAAAAGTCACAAGACTGTTCCAATTAGGTTGGTTCTAAGTTGATAGCAGAGTTGGTTCATGTATTGTTTTTGGCAAATTTCTCATGTCAGACTTGAAGCGCTTGAAGTTCCAACCTGACTCATCAAATATTATCAGATATTACTCACGGGAACAACCATGTTGTTGTCTGCATATTGACATTGCAAGGGTATTATGAGAATATGAATGTACTACTACATTGTACTACTACTATCTACTGCGAATCTACTGCGAATCTACTGTGCCTGGAGATACTCCATGGATCTCCATGTATTGATTTCCAATTTCCACATTTCCATGACAGCTCCGCTCCATTCAGCGGGTCCCTTGCCTCAGGACAAGTCAAGGACGTGCAATTGGCCTGCCAATGCACAACTCAACGGAAACGCAGTGCTCCTGTGGCTCCTGTGGCACCTGGAAAATGGATATGGTGATATGGTGCCAAAACAGTCCAAAACTTAGCTGTCGGATCTGTTGGATCTGTTGGATCAACGCGATCATTGTGGCGCGTTGCTCGAACCTCCCTCTGAATGCTTAGGGGGAAAGGGACCAAATCTTAAGACCTGCTGACCACGATGTTCGGAGAATGTTTAGCAGCAAACCATCCCAGTTGTTGGCATAATTACGTAAGTTGTACTGTATGCGTTTTCCCAGGAAAATAACATGGGTCCGTTCTATACATCACTGTTCCCCCATTCTGACGCTCAGTGCCTCCTCCTTGCGCCCGTTGGCTGGACAGACGCAACTGTTCAATCCATCACCCGCGGGGAAAATGCTGTGAGGAACACACCAGGCCTGGAATCAGGTGAAACCGACAGTGACACGGTGAGATGAAGATATCCAACAAATCTCCAACATATCCAACTCCAACACATCCAATTGAAAAAATAACTTTTCCACCAACAATTAGTGGCAAAAAACGGCTTACTGATCACTGGTCAGGTGTTGAGCAACCCACCTGGAATCATCTGGAGATACAAAGGCATGCAAAAGCCACTTAAAATTGACCGAGCAAAAACATAATAGCAACAATATACAACAATAGTAAAAAAAAAGTAATAATAACAATCATCATAATCATACTAATATAAATCTCGATTCACGACTGGGTGAAATCTCATCAACGCCCCTGTGGTCATATCCGGGTGGCCCTTGGCAGCTGCACGGGGGGACAGTTCAGCCGTGTGCAACGCGAATCGTGGCGTTGCCCGCTGGCAGCACAGCGGCAGGTGTTGCAACCATCGGCTGCGGTGAACAACAGCCTTGGACGGGAACGGAGGGCGGACAAGTCGTAGTATGTAAACCGTTTGTAACTGATTTCTGATTTCAAACCCTCCTCCAATTTTTACATGGATAAAGAGGGAAACAATTGTAGAAACCTCCCGACAACAAAGAAACCATGTGGTAACCATTGGTGATCTTTGACCCCAAATTCTGATTTATTGAATTTATTGTTGTCCTAGTGTTGTCTAATTGTTGTCTAATTGGTGCTTCTTTTCAGGGTTTCCAGAATGGGGCCCCAAGAGATTCCGAACTTCGACCATCCCAGCAGGCCATGTAGAAAGGTTGCCACATAGTGGTCCCGTACCAAGTTGTCAGTGAAAAATGACGTAAAGGTGAAGACGTAATATTTATATTTGGCCTATGCATTTTGTAAATTGATGTAAATTCTCACAAGTGGTTACTGTACAATTGTACAACCGTAAAACACAGTTTCGGCCTTCTGTTTTCAGGGAATGTACAGCCTCTTTTGATTTCAAGACTCCCAGGGCAGCAGGTGCCGTCCTCTGCTGGCTCCTGCAGGAATGGTTGTCATGAAGGTGTCAGGCCGGGCCAAACTAAATGCATGGATCAAAGTCAATACAAAGATGTTGGCGACATTCAATACCTTCAATCTTCAATTTTTCAAGCTTTCACCAAGAGAAAAATGGAAAATAAGGTAGCTGAAGCTCCGGTGGAGCTCATCGCTCAGGCAATGGACTGCTTCATCAAGCCCAAACATCACCGAGATTCAGGGTGGATGGGTGCCCAAGTCCCAAGTCTCCAAGAACTAAGAACTTCCTTTTTTCTCCCAGTATACAATGCTGCACCCTGGTGATAAATGCGCCGTACCCATGAAAACCAACCAGATTTAACCCCATCCAACATGTTGATCATCCAACAGACTCCCTGAGATCTGCCAAAGATCTCAACCCATCACCGCCTCTTTCCCGGGACAAACATAGGAAGTACAATTGGCTTCGGCCTCACTTCAGGAAGAGGGATCAGAATATGGGCATGAGTGGCACAACAAAAGAGCTGGTAGATGTGCTAAAAACAATGGTGAACTATTTAGATTGTTCTTATATGAACAATGGCAAAAAAGTGTGTACAAATTGTATCTGAGTTGCATCTAAATCCCCGTTGAAACATGTTGAAACAACTCTAGGAGTTTCCCACCTTGATGCCGCTCCAAGGACAAGTGCACATGTTGAAACCATCTGCCGCCTTGGTCAGGGACCGGACACAGACAAGCATCTGGGACAATCAAGGGCTGTCCCCATGAGATGTCCCGGGTAACACTTGAAACATCTTGAAACCATGAGAATTTCTGGAAATCTGTCGTGACATCTTCGGAAAATCATGATTCAGAGGTCCTGAGGTCCTCTCAAATCGATCTCAATAAGAATGGCAAGAGAACCACTCTTCCACAGATGTGGAAAATGACCAACGCACCAAAAAATAGTTGACCATCCCATTATTTTTTCCCAATTGATGTTGCCGATTCTCCCTGTTTTGTCTAGTTTTTTGTCCATCTGTTTGTCCAGTTTGCCAGTTTATTAGTGCTTACTATCCCATTCCTGGTTCCCATTCCTGGTTTCCGCGTCCCCCGATGCCCACCCGAAAGTTGGACATGGGCAGACACCGCTCACCTCAGGGGATGCAATGCAACAGTTTGTATCGACAGTTTGTAACCGTTGAGAGCAATAAAACCATAAGACCATATGAATCCCACAAGTTGGGGACTTATGCATCAGCATCCGGATTCTTGAAAGGCATCGTTGACCCCAACTGTTTTTGTGGTCCAAGCTTTGAAGGATGAAAGATTGACAATGACATACCCTTTACATCTAACAACTCGCTGCGAAGTGCCGTACAGCTCCAGTGTTCAACCTACAAACACCCAGACAAGAGCAACCAACAAACCCGAATGCAGTCGCGTAAAACACTTTTGTGAAACAAATTATTCCAACAGTCTTGTACATTCTTCCCCTGTCACCGTACCAGTGTAGACTGTGGAGTGTGGGGTGTGAAGACACTGGAGTGTTGAGTGGGGAACGTGATGTGTAGGGTACGAACAGGGGATTGTGGAGTGTAAAGTCTTGATTGAAGAGTGTCAAGCGTAAAGTGTGAAGTGAAAAGTGTGAAGTATAAAGTGTCGAGTGTAGACTGTGGAGTGTAAAGTGTAGAGTGTAGAGTGTAGAGTGGGAGTGTTACGTGTAAAGAGTAAAGTGTGAAGTGTAAAGTGTAGAGTGGAGAGTGTCAAGTGTGAAGTGTAAAGTGTGAAGTGTGGAGTGTCAAGTGTAAAGTGTAAAGTGCGAAGCGTAAAGTGTAAAGTGTAGAGTGTGGAGTGCAAAGTGTAGAGTGTGGAGTGCAAAGTGTAGAGTGCGGAGTGCGGAGTGTAAAGTGAGGGTGCCGAGTGTAAAGTGTAAAGTGTAGAGTGTAGTGTGTGGAGTGTAAAGTGCGAAATGTGAAGTGTAAAGTGTAGAGTCTGGAGTGTAAAGTGTGGAGTGTCAAGTGTAAAGTGTGACGTGGAAAGTGTAGAGTCTGGAGTGTAAAGTGTGAAGTGTAGAGTGTGGAGTGTCAAGTGTAAACTATAAAGTGTAAAGTGTGGATTGTAAAATGTCAAGTTTAGTGTAAAGTGTAAATTTAGCAAAGTGCAGAGTGTGGAGTGTAAAGCGTAGCGTGCCCCAAATACTGCAACTGCCACGACACACGACGGATCTTCACCAAATAGTGCGCCTCCACGTAAAATGACACTCTGACGACGTCCCACGCCTGCCACGGAATTTGCACACTGTCACCGCGTGATGCAGCCCTGACAATGCGATTTGCAAAAAGCGCTGCGCGTGCCACGCAAAATGACCATGGAGGTCACCAAAGTGCTGGGCCTGCCATTCTGAAAATGACGCAAATTATTGCGCCTGTCACACAGAACGACTTGTGACACGTTATGAAATTGGAATGTCACAAAGTGCCACGTGCCACACGAAACGACGTTGCGCGACGATTGAAACCTCCAAAAGTGACCACTTTTGCAGCGCTCCTCATAGGCACGGCCATAGGGTCCCCACACGGTCGTGCCGCGCACGGTTGCGGACACAAAAGCAGCATCGAGCGAAAAGGTCCCAACCCCAGACTCCCAAAGTAAAACGAGCACCCTTCGCTACGCAAAAACAATAAAGAGAAAGAGAACCAACTGAACAACGCGAAACAGCGATGGCAATCTTTCTCTGCCAGAAACATTGCAAAAAAGTCCCTGGGAAACCTCCGCGAACCGTTTGAAATAGTCCTAAGAGATGTTAAGGGATGTTAAGAAACAAACAAAATTAATTAAACATAATTAATTAAAAGAGCTTGCTCAAAATGTTCAAACAAAAAGAGAAAAAAAGAGAAAACAGTTTGACAGTTGCAGTTTTCTCCGTTTTCTCCGTTTTCTCCGAGGTTCTGGGCAGCATGGAGGGCGGACAGGCCATCAAGGTGCAAGCAGATTCATTCTTCAGCCCGGAGGCACTACAACGGCAGGTGTTGCAACCTGTCGCACCCGTGGCATGGGTGCATGGGCAATGGATCTAAAGAATCTAAAGTGATGGATGATTCTGGTTCTTGGAAGTCCTTGGAAGTTCTTGGAGGTTCTTAGCATCCTCCTGAAAAGGATGGCATTGCAATTTCAAGAAATATCGGTGTTTTCCTGTCCTGAAGACTCCAATGGGCCATCACAGACCATTCTTCCCTTTGGAGTTTTTGTCATGCATAGTCCTTGTGATAACTGACAAACATTCGCATGAGATGCAAGACTAGTTCCAATGGTACAAGTATAAGATAGTATAAGTAAGTGTTGCAGTGTTCTTGCAGTGTAAAAAAAAAAATGTCATTCCCATGGATCAGTTTGGGGGATTTCGATTCATTTCGATTCATTTCGATTCATTCGGTTCCTCAAAAAGTTGGACTTCGAGGACTTCGACCAGGTGGCCATCCGTGGACTTAAAGGAGTAGCCCGGGCAGCAGGTGCCGTTCGACACGTGCTCCGTGTGCACGGCAAGCTCCACCTGCATTTCAGGCATCGGGTGGCAGAGTGCCAACATGGAAGTCATGGAAGGTGGAAATCTGATCATTGCAATATATTGCAATCACACCCAAGGAATACAAAAATGATAAAGTGACAGGATGTGACAGGGAAAAGTGTGAATCTTGCTATCTTAATCATCCCTGTGCGAGCTGCTGTTTAATCAAACCCTCAAGAAAGAACCATAGTTGGGGGCGACTTTTTGTTGCACATGAAGTGCTGGTTGCGAATCACCCAAGACGTGCTTCAAAGACCACCAGGAGCGCCTTGGGACACTTCAAACTGGTGCATTGGGCTTTCGTCAGATCGCCATCTGCAGGACATGTGCAGGTGTTCAGGCCTTGGTGGTCAATGACGATTCAGGTGGTGACCTCTCAAGTTTTGGATGCACCCAGTTGTGTGGTGAAACTATGTTAAACAAATGTTCTCCTATCATTGTGTTCATGCCAGATGGCACCACAACAAGGCACCACGACTCTACGAACTTTCTATGAGTTGTAATAATTCTAATATGTTGTGATATGTTGTATATGTTCCAGCCGATTCCAGCCCGATACCTTTCCTATCCTTTCTTCCTGGTTCTGTTCGTTTTTGAGTCCGGGCTGACGGCTGAGGTTCAGGCCATCACCCTTAGGAAATGCCACGAAAGGCTGACATCTGCCTTCCAGCGGTCCCAGCGACTGAGCTCTGTCTCGCAGATTCCCTGCAAAACGGAGGGACGCATCCAACTAAGAAATGCCAAAAAAAAACGAAAATATGATGTTTAAAGTTTAAAGCAAAACAGGTGATTCATCCAACAAACTGTAGGCGATGACAAAAAAAGGGATCATCCACTAACAAAGGTAGGCAAATAAACAGCCACGATCAAGATATAAGACTCATTGAGACCCACGACTGGTCATGTTCAGTACAAAACAGCGAAGTGTTGCGTCCCCAATGACCCATCACCATGATTGGTAACCACTCATAACCATTCAACATTTCATCATTTCCCACATATTCAAATGATTTCAGGCGATTTCAAGCGGATGTCGGGTCGGAATTGTGGGGGACTCAGTTACGACAGTCTCGAGAAAGTTGGAAAGTTGGAAGGTTGAAATTCAAATGATCAGCCTCCCGGAACGCGCTCAGTTCAGCGTCCCAAGCGCCTTCCGTCTCAGATTTGGGACAAATTCTGTTGGTGCAGGCTGCCCCAGCCTGCAGAGATGGCAGCACAGCGTAACAGATCCAAAGGAAGTGTCAACAGGGTAAGCGAACAAATTACATGACCATTCACCACTTTGTTTATTTCGTTCTCCTTGTTGTAGAATCTAATTGAATGCCATGTTCACAAATTGCTGGGCCCCGACCTTCCGGCCGCTGGCGCCACACACGCAGCTGTTGCAACGGTCCTGGCAGGGAAGCCCAAAGGTTACAACACAAATATCACCGAAGAGCGGGAACCGCACACACAATTTGGTATAAGCTGCACCGAGCGGTATATATACATACACATGTGTTTCTTTCTGGAGCATGGGAATCTTTGTTAGGCTGCGCTCTACGCTAACAACCTATATGTATATATATATATATGCATGCCAAGATAAAGATGGGCGCCAGTGCCTGGAACACAAGCCCTGGGCAGCACGTGTCGTTGGCAAAGACCTGGCTGGAGCCGTACCAAAATTCTAGCTGAAACCTTAGGCGTCCCAAGAAGAATGCCAATGCAAAATTTAAGACAGCAAACAGCACCTGTGTGACATGGATCTTTGACGATCATTGATGATCTTTGATGATCTTAGTGCCTAAGCTGCCCAGCCTCTGCGACTGCCAGGCTTGGCAAAAGAGCATAGAGAGCAAGCAAACGGCACATCATCCTGGCACCGGGAATCGCTGTTGGTGCAACTGGGGCGGTCTCCTGTGCAAGGCATCCTACAGGGAAAGGTTGCAATCCAAAGGTCACGTGGCAAGATCGTGTTCGCACTTGGTACTGGTGAAAACATCAAAACAGTGGATGATCAGCAAATCACTGAACGGATTTCCTGGGGATCACAACATCAACCGATTCCAACCCTTCTGGGTTTCCAGCCTGTGGGGGTCTCTTCAGAATCACAGGGCCAAGCTGGTTGGGCCAAATCCGCGCAGCGCACAGATGTTGAGTGGCTTCACCAAATGTGTGTCCTATGTCTCCAATTAAACAGCATCACTCAAAGATCCAGCTGTTTATCAACTTCTAAGTCCATGTCCATCCATTACTCATCCATCTATTCTTTGAAATATCGTGGAAACATGGGATTCACGGGCATAGTTTGCCCATAAAACCTACCCCTCTTCCCCTGAGCTCCCCACGTTAGCACCTGCGACGCGGGCACCGTGGTGTGCTTCATCCACAGCAAGTTTTGCAGGTTTTGCAAAAGAAGGACCCCCAGATGCATCCAAATGCCTATGGCGTTCAATCATCGATCGCACTCTGACCCGTGTTTGCAGCTCAAAGCATTACATTTCATGTTCATTCCCATGTTTGATCCTGTTTATAGTTCCTTACATGGGGAGCCTGGTCACTGCCCGAAGTGCCAAAGTTGTCAAAGGCACTGTGCCGCTGATATTTGGCATCATTCAAGTGCACGCGACAGCCTTCGCTCGAACCCCGGGCACAGCCATCTCACCTCTGGACTTCTGAGATCAGATTCGCATCATCTACCGAATCTACCTTGAAAATCATTGAAATATATTGAAACCACATACATGCCTCATCTAGATCGCTGTACTTTGAAGCTCACACAGATTCAATGTGGACAAGGTGTGGGTTCAAATTGGGTACACGAAAAATGACATGGTCGGAACCCAAACTAAGCAAAAAAACAGTCGATCTGTTCTTTTTGTTCATTCATACACACATTCCGCTGCAAAACTCCTGAGAAATTGTGCACCGCCGTCGGCCTAAGAGACGTCCCGTCCACCGCCGCAGAGCTGTAGCTGGGGCCGCTGAAAGAAACGCCCGGCAATTCACCAATTCATCGTGTGGTCATCAATCCTCAAGACAAAAAGAGGGAGTCCATGTGTACAGCTCAAAAATACTTTTATATGTTATACATCTATGTACTTTTATATAAATTGTGTATAACTTGTGTATATGTAATACATTGTAATACATGAATACATTGTAATACATTAATACATTGCACAACGCTTGCATGTCGCTTCGGTACCCCACCTGCCACGAAGCCAAGGCTGGAAACTCGAAAGGTCCAAGGCCTCAGAAAACGAGGAGGAAATCATGAAGAAACATATGGGATGGTAACCAAATGGCACGCGTTGGATATGTTTCTTGGCTGCACGGCTATTTACAGCTATTTGCATTTGTTGATGTTAGTTGATGTTTGTTGTCTGAAATTGAATCTGAAAATCCGCAGAGGCTGAGTCGCTTCTCCACCACCATCTGCAGGATAGTTCCACCTCGCGCAGGCCGGAGTTGGGTGCAAAAGAAATGCAGAGATCAAACCGAACCAGACCGAACCTATCTGAACCAGACAAATTTGGAATCCCAAATCAACAATGGTGGGTGAAGTGACCAACTGCTGATATACAAACAAAAAATTACACCGGCATAGACCCCAGATAGAAAAGGTTGGAACTGATGGTTCAGTTCCCAACGTGGGAACCAAGGTTACCATGGCAAGGAACTGCCGGTTCCCAGACCTTGAAACTTACGGTTCCCAACCTGGGAACCAGAGGTTACCATTGCAAGGAATTGCCGGTTCCCAGAAGTTAGAATTTATGTTTTCGAAGCTAAGCGGCTATCATTGTAAGGAATTGCCGGTTGCGAAAGCTTGAAACTCATGGTTCCAAACCTGAAAAAGCATACGTTACCAGTGGAAGGATCTGTTGATTCCAAAAAGTTAGAACTCATGGTTCTTAATGTTGTTTTGTTTTGCTTACTGAGCCGGTAACAGAACCTTTTGTTTTGCTTAATGTACCGGTAGCGGAATGTTTGCGTTTGGCTGTTGGGCCGGAATAAAAATGTTTTTGCACGAAAAAAGTGCATGTCAAAATGATATGAAAACAGTTTCTTTACAACTTTATGGTTTTGCTTAATGGACCGGTACAGAACGCTTTGTTTTGCTTAATGGACCGGTACCGGAAAGTTTGCGTTTGGTTCATGGCAAGGAACTGCCAGTTCCCAAAGGTTGGAACTCACGGTTGCCAACGTGGGAACCAAAGGTTACCATTGCAAGGAAATGCCGGTTCCCAGAGGTTGGAACTCCTGGTTCCCAACCTGGGAACCAAAGGTTACCACCTGGGAACCACAGGTTACCATTGCAAAGAACTTCCAGTTCCTAAAGATTGGAACTGATGGTTCCCAATGTGGGAACCAAAGGTTACCATGGCAAGGAACTGCCGGTTCCCAGACCTTGAAACTTACGGTTCCCAACCTGGGAACCAGAGGTTACCATTGCAAGGAATTGCCGGTTCCCAGAAGTTAGAATTTATGTTTTCGAAGCTAAGCGGCTATCATTGTAAGGAACTGCGGGTTCCCAAAGCTTGAACCTCATGGTTCCAAGCCTGAAAAAGTAACGTTACCAGTGGAAGGATCTGTTGATTGCAAAAAGTTAGAACTCATGGTTCTTAATGTTGTTTTGTTTTGTTTACAGAACCTTTTGTTTTGCTTAATGGACCGGTAGCGGAATGTTTGCGTTTGGCTGTTGGGCCGGCAAAAAAAAAGTTTTTGCACCAAAAAGGTTCATGTCAAAATGATATGAAAACAGTTTCTTTACAATTTTATGGTTTTGCTTAATGGACCGGTACAGAACGCTTTGTTTTGCTTAATGGACCGGTACCGGAATGTTTGCGTTTGGTTCATGGCAAGGAACTGCCGGTTCCCAAAGGTTGGAACTCCTGGTTCCCAACCTGGGAACCATGGGTTACCATTGCAAGCAACTGCCGGTTACCACAGGTTGGAACTCATGCTTCCCAACCTGGGAACCATGGGTTACCATTGCAAGCAACTGCCGGTTACCAGAGGTTGGAACTCATGCTTCCCAACCTGGGAACCATAGGTTGCCATTGCAAAGAACTTCCGGTTCCTAAAGGTTGGAACTGATGGTTCCCAACGTGGGAACCAAAGGTTACCATGGCAAGGAACTGCCGCTTCCCAGACCTTGAAACTTACGGTCCCAACCTGGGAACCAGAGGTTACCATTGCAAGGAATTGCCGGTTCCCAGAGGTTAGAACTTATGTTTTCGAAGCTAAACAACTATCATTGTAAGGAATTGCCGGCTGCGAAAGCTTGAAACTCATGGTCCCAAACCTAAAAAAGCATACCTTACCAGTGGAAGGATCTGTTGATTCCAAAAAGTTAGACCTCATGGTTCTTAATGTTGTTTTGTTTTGTTTACTGAGCCGGTAACAGAACCTTTTGTTTTGCTTAATGGACCGGTAGCGGAATGTTTGCGTTCGGCTGCTGGGCCGGCAAAAAAATGTTTTTGCACGAAAAAGGTGCATGTTAAAATGATATGAAAACAGTTTCTTTACAACTTTATGGTTTTGCTTAATGGACCGGTAAAGAACGCTTTGTTTTGCTTAATGGACCGGTACCGGAATGTTTGCGTTTGGTTCATGGCAAGGAACTGCCGGTTTCCAAAGGTTGGAACTCACGGTTGCCAACGTGGGAACCACAGGTTACCATTGCAAGGAACTGCCGGTTCCCAGAGGTTGGAACTCCTTGTTCCCAACCTGGGAACCATGGGTTACCATTGCAAGCAACTGCCGGTTACCAGAGGTTGGAACTCATGCTTCCCAACCTGGGAACCATAGGTTACCATTGCAAAGAACTTCCGTTTCCTAAAGGTTGGAACTGATGGTTCCCAACGTGGGAACCAAAGGTTACCATGGCAAGGAACTGCCGCTTCCCAGACCTTGAAACTTACGGTCCCAACCTGGGAACCAGAGGTTACCATTGCAAGGAATTGCCGGTTCCCAGAGGTTAGAACTTATGTTTTCGAAGCTAAGCGGCTTTCATTGTAAGGAACTGCGGGTTCCCAAAGCTTCATGGTCCCAAGCCTGAAAAAGTAACGTTACCAGTGGAAGGATCTGTTGATTGCAAAAAGTTAGAACTCATGGTTCTTAATGTTGTTTTGTTTTGTTTACTGAGCCGGTAACAGAACCTTTTGTTTTGCTTAATGGACCGGTAGCGGAATGTTTGCGTTCGGCTGCTGGGCCGGCATAAAAATGTTTTTGCACGAAAAAGGTGCATGTTAAAATGATATGAAAACAGTTTCTTTACAACTTTTTGGTTTTGCTTAATGGACCGGTAAAGAACGCTTTGTTTTGCTTAATGGGCCGGTACCAGAATGTTTGCGTTTGGTTCATGGCAAGGAACTGCCGGGTCCCAAAGGTTGGAACTCACGCTTGCCAACGTGGGAACATTGCAAGGAACTGCCGGTTCCCACAGGTTAGAAGTCATGGTTCCCAACCTGGGAACCATGGGTTACCATTGCAAGCAACTGCCGGTTCCCAGAGGTTGGAACTCATGCTTCCCAACCTGGGAACCATAGGTTACCATTGCAAAGAACTTCCAATTCCGAAAGGTTGGAACTGACGGTTCCCAACGTGCAAACCAAAGCACAGCACGCTGTACAGCACCCTGTACAGCACCTTTCACAGCACCCTTCACAGCACCCTGCACAGCACCCTGCACAGACACTTCGCCACCGCAGTCTGGACAGCACCCTGCACAGCACCCTGCACAGCACCCAGCACCTTTGCCAGACTTCGCCACCGCAGTACAGCACCCTGCGCACCACCCTGCACGGCACCTTTGCCAGACTTCGCCACCGCACTCTGGACAACACCCTGCAGAGCACCCTGCACAGCACCCTGCACAGCACCCTGCACAGCACCTTTGCGAGACTTCGCCACCGCAGTCTGGACAGCACCCTGCACAGCACCCTGCGCAGCACCCTACCCTGCACAGCACCTTTGCCAGACTTCGCCACCGCAGTCTGGACAGCACCCTGCACAGCACCCTGCACAGCACCTTGCACAGCACCCTGCACAGCACCCTGCACAATACTCTGCACAGCACCCTGCACAGCACCCTGCACAGCACCTTTGCCAGACTTCGCCACTGCAGTCTGAACAGCACTGTGCACAGCACCCTGCACAGCACCTTTGCCAGACTTCGCCACCGCAGTCTGGACAGCACCCTGCACAGCACCCTGCACAGCACCCTGCACAGCACCCTGCACAGCACCTTTGCCAGACTTCGCCACTGCAGTCTGAACAGCACTGTGCACAGCACCCTGCACAGCACCTTTGCCAGACTTCGCCACCGCAGTCTGGACAGCACCCTGCACAGCACCCTGCACAGCACCCTGCACAGCACCCTGCACAGACACTTCGCCACCGCAGTCTGGACAGCACCCTGCACAGCACCCTGCACAGCACCCAGCACCTTTGTCCATGCCAGACTTCGCCACCGCACTCTGGACAACACCCTGCAGAGCACCCTGCACAGCAACTCTTTGCCAGACTTCGCCACCGCAGTCTGGACAACACCCTGCAGAGCACCCTGCAGAGCACCCTGCACAGGGTCACCTTTGCCCATGCCTTCGCACCGCAGTCTGGACAGCACCCTGCACAGCACCCTGCACAGGACCCTGCACAGCACCTTTGCCAGACTTCGCCACCGCACCCTGCACAGCACCCTGCACAGCACCCTGCACAGCACCTTTGCCAGACTTCGCCACCGCAGTCTGGACAGCACCCTGCACAGCACCCTGGCTCAAAAGTTCGCCACCGAAGACCCCACCTTTGAGAAGTAAGAACCCTATAGCTTGCCAGCTATCTGGGGAAAAAACGTGACGATATATCCTCCGAGCAAACACCAAGAAACTCAACCAAATCAATCCAAATCAACCATTCATCCGGAAAAACTCAACCATTTCAACAGTTTGAATCATCCTTAACAATCCTTAACGTTGATGCACCACGGCCACCAGGTCACCAGCTGATCGAGCAGCTGATGCGCAGCGCCTTGGCGAACCCCGGCAGTGCCGTGGCGGCGCAGGGCTTTCTGTCGGTGCCCGGGATCTTGGAATCGCAGGAACTCACCGCACTGCAGGACCAAGGCCAGGTATAGTGCTGTACGTTGGTTTGGAAGGGTTTCTGGTTGGGGTTGGTGGGTTTAAATGCTGTAATTCATGAATATCAATACGAATCTATGATATAGACATACGTATTATTACGTATTAATATATGTATACACAGTGTGTAGTTATATTTCTCCATATCGTGCCATGTTTTCAGGCTGGTTGGAAGCACTAGAGATAGAGAGAATCAGATGCCATGGTGTGTCCTAGCTCCTTGTGAGTTTTTTAATCGGTTTATTAGCACACATCCTAGAGATTCCTAGAGTGTATCAGATTGGGAACCTAGATGATTTCCCTGTGGTTTTTTCATGTTTTTTCTGTCCTCGATCACCTGATGCCACAGGCGTCCAGAGACCCCGGTACCTGCAAGATCAAGGTTTTCCTGCAGGGCCCGTCTTAGTCAGCTACCTCGGTGCCTGGTCTTTGATCAAATTCTTCGGCAGTCGTTTTTTGGAAGATGTTTTCATGCTTAGTCTTGTTGAATCAAGAACCATCAACCAGCACCATTCATATCCATTCATAGTAGACATTGATGACTTGGTTCAATCACACGAATTGAGACCGACATGCTCCTCTTTATCCTTCCCTATCCTCTCTTGTGCAATCCAATGTTTTGGAACATCCTGCTTTTCTGACATGCCAGCGAGGTGTGGTATACCAGCGAGGATTCTTCGACGAACGAGTCTTCCAGTATGACCGAGCCTGTTACCAATGCCGCTACCAGGACGACAAAACTCATGCCATCTTTGGGGGGTTAGAATCTATTTTGGTGAGGATCGATGGGAACCTGCCAGGATGACATGTGGTTCTCCGCCCACCTGGCTTCAAAAGGCATCAAACGCTTCGTCTTGGGAGCTGCGTTGGGTGTTCAGGACTCCTGCCACGAATCATTTCGAGCACCTTTGCATTGATTTTGGATCTGGTAGTTATTGTAGCAGGGCTTATGGGATGTTTGTAGAGGGCACAATTGGGCCTGTTGGCGGACTTGAGCATCCAAAACTCACCGCAAAGTGACGGCCACAGGAGCTGACAGAGATGCATCTGGGCCCCGAGTTCGATCCCTAGCATCACCAGCTTCGTATTTGGAACCCCAAAATGCCACAGTTTGTTCTCATTTTCCCATATTTACAAGGTGAACATACTCATTTTTGATGTCTCAACCATTCTGAGACAAGCCCAAATCATTGACGCACTGCTCCCCAAGGTCCTTGACCAAGTGGCCGGAGAATCGCCCGAGAAACGTGAGCCGCTCACTTGCAGTTGATCGTGGTTGATGGGGGCGGTGGGTGAGGATTGGCACCGAGTTGGCCCTGCTGATTTAGGCGACGATTGCAACCAGTGCCTTCTGCAGAAGCGCTCCACCAAGCTGTGGGCCTTCCGGCGGCGTGTGGTGCTGGCGTTAGCTGGGCTACCGTAGGGCGGCCCAAGGGGATGTGGTGGCCCTTGGACTTGGTGGATGGGCCAAGATGTACTTTTCGAGGCTTGTACCAACAATGGGGTGTTTTTTTTTACTCTTTTGTTTCTTTTTACTTTTCTTGTTTTGGAGTTGATGTACCTAAAGATAGTGAGCAGCCATCAAGAATGGCGATAATCAACAACTCCAACAATGGATGGATCATTTGGGAAAAAAAATGGGAACCAGAAGATCTAAGATTCTGCTTTACTCTAAGAGCCGGTAACAAGTGGTTGGGACTCCTCCCCATTTTGGAGACATAGGGAGTGTCAGAGCTTTGATGCGGTAAGCTTTCCAGGTCTGCCGCAGGGCTTCCCTCAGAGGCTCAGATGTGCAATTCTGTGACATGGAATCTTTCCTGTGGTGAGATAAGTCAAAGCCAAGCACCAGCACCTTAAATGCCTTAAAAATTATGGCAAAGGCCATTGTTGAATGTGACAAGATCTCCAATTTCTGGCATGTCACATAGCAATTTCTGCATATTCTTCAGCTCGTGAGGTGTCTCCAGAATGGGAGTCTGTGCTTGCGAGCATCAAGAGGCCCAACACGCACCTGTGAGAGGGAGCGGTCAAAAGACAGAAGATACAAACGAGTAGACTGGGTAGTTGAAACCCTTGCGCCCGAACATTTCAAGAACAACATAGAATGGAGTATTTCGGGACATTCACCTATTTGTCTTGGGGGTGTTTGGTTCTAATTCTACCCAAGGGAGTTTGAGCATAGCCGGTCACCAATTTCTCCAGGCTTTCCAACTGGCCGGACCTCACCTATCTGTGCACGGCTGGTTGGGAGGCGGCGGACTGTCGTCACGGGTGCCAAGGGTCGATGACACAATGGAGAGTTGCCAAGACCCACATGACTCACATGACCATTGAAGGGTCAATTTGTTGGTGGACCACCTGATCATCATTTAGCAATATTTAGCAATGATCATCATAAAATACATATAAATACATCATTAAGCGATATCAACCACATATCATATTATATTTTTATATGATTTATATGTATTGTATATATCACATTAGTCCCCAGCAATTTCTAACCTTGACATACCCGCCTAGGGCTCCAGCGGCTTCATCCTTGGGAAGCTGGGCTGATGGATTCAGATTTGGCCAATGGCTTTAGTAGACAAACCAACTTGAAGTTAAATTAAAGTATCAGTATCAGTATCAGTATTTAGCAGTTTATTTGGACAAGTGTTAAGTTACACATTTTTTTGTAATGACAATTTGGGATCACATGGGTGACATTATCCTGCACCAGTCGAGTGACTCCTGCAACAACCTAAGGAAGTCCTTCCTGTTGAATGATATCTTGGTCACGGGCTCCACAGTTCGGAGCTCTGTCGAAGATCAGAAGCCATTCTGACTGGCTTTTTGTGATTGAACTTCCCTTGTGTCTCAATTCCAGTGTAGATATTTTCAATCTCGTTCAATCTTTTCCCATTTTCAACCCTTTTTCTATATCTTTTTTCCCATTGGCCAACCATCCCCATGGGACCGATGGGACCCATGGGATCTTGCCGTTGCAGGCCTGCGAGGCCCAGGGCGACGCCCGGATCTCCCAACTGCTGCGGGATCTCTTGCCGCTTCGCTGCAGGGTGGGGATGGTGGGGATGGTGGGGGCTTAGGGGTTTGGGGCTGGGGGATGTCTGATATGAAAAGTTGGGAGAAATGGTGAAAAAGTCCGCTGGAAAGTCAATGTCGAACTGTCGAACTTGAAGGATGTTGTTGTCTCAGCCAACTGCAGCATGAGGCTGTGGGAAGGCGATGCCAACACAGCCTGGAACTTAGAGGATGCGCTGTCCGAAGGGTGGATGTCCATGGTCATCGCTAGGTTCTGGTGATGGGCTCCCTTGAAGACTTGCAGAAAGGAGATCCGGAAGACTTTTGGGCAGTGGCGGAATGTCCCAGACTCAGCAGGTCGCCACGATTTGGACGCCAGCTTTCTGGAAGTCGGCCCCAGGTGCTGCCAACATGTACGATTTCCACGTGCAGCAAGCGGATGACGACGAACGCGCCTTGCGCCTGGCAGCCCAGCGAGCTCAACCGGCTGTCCAGGCTAAATTTCCCTTACAACCTGGAGAAGTTAATTACACGGCTACCAATAGTTGTGAAGAGTTGTTTGGCAATCTGAAGTTCGGCAGATTTTGCCTACTTTGAGGTGAGGCCGAAGACCAAGCAGCCTCCAAGCAGGAAGCTTTCTTTGGACGTACGGATTGTACATGGCGAATGTGATCTGAGCTTGGATGTACAGTTCGACTCGTTTTATGACAGTCTACGACATTCAACGATTTTTGACAGTCGTATGACCGGTCTTGTTGAAACACTTGCCAAGAATCAGAGGTTTTCTGGTATCCCCAGGATCCAAAGGAGTTCCTGGTGGAAAAGTTCGGCCACACTGGCGCATTTCCTGCTTGTTCCCAGATCATCTCGATCCATTTGCCCATGTCAGGTCACTTGATGCTCAACAGTCGTTTCCGGCAACGCCCTTTGGAGCTGACCTCTGGACTGGGAGATCAGATGCCCAGAAGGAGAGCATGCGGAAGAGCAGGTTCATAGGATAGCAAGCACCACTACACTTCACAACACTTCACTACACACTACATATTTCAGGGATTGAAGAGATTTCCCAGGGTGATGTATTCATTTTCCAAGCTTTCATCAATTGTGACATCATGTTTAGGTCCTTGAAAGAGGAAAGTCAGGTTGCTGTGAACAATCCCAGTCGATCATCCCCTTGTCGACAGATGAAGGAGTCGTGCCGCCTCTGGAGCCCAGACGTGGCCATACTGCCGGCTGGGCAGCTGGCTTGCAGCCAGCGCAGCTCGGCAGATTCGGAGGCAACCATCCAATTGACCAATGAAACATAGCCTTGTTGATTGTTGTTGATTGTTGATTGGGGATTATGGGATATTATGGGGATTTGTTGGAGATTATTATTACATATTATTACTATATCCACAACATGCAAAATTGGGATAGCCACTAAAACCAACGAGTACAATGGGAATTTAATGCAATCTTAGGGGATCAAT